CGCCCGCCGCACCAGCTGGGAGGAGGTGACCCAACCGCCCTGGCCGTCCTGCCGCTCCAGGGGGGGGCTCGTCTCGGCCTCTTCTCCTGCAGGAACCAAGAGAGAAAAGGATAAGAGTGAAGGTAATGTTTCATTTGCCTTCCTCTGTGGTCTTGCCAGTGTTTCCTGTTCTCTGCATGTTTTATTTCCGTTTATTAGGGTTAGTCAGTCCTTTTGGGTTCGGTTAGAAAGCTGCCTTTTCTAGGCCGAGATCTTTTCGTAAAGTACGAGAAATATAAGCGGATTCTTTGGTTACATGTATAAATTTCTGAATCAACACATTTCCTTCTGCCCCAAAAGATTAACGGAAAGGGGACTCAGGACTCTCCAAGTTCTGAAAAATAATCGCGCTGATGACAATGCACGACCCACCCCCCTCCCGAGAACAGAAGAGGGCGAGAGACAAATCGCCGCCATGCATCACCCGCGATGAAGGGCCGCGTCCCGGGAGAAGAACGAGGTCGGAGATCATGGCCCGCGACGCTGGCCGAGAAATGGCCTCTGCGTGGTGGGGGTGGGGGGGGATGTTGTCTTCCTTCATGCGGAGCAAACGAGTCTCGGCTCATTGCGATACGGTGCGTGGGTGCTGCCGCCGCTGCGAATGAATTACCTACTTTTTATAATTGCTGCTCTAGTCAGAGATGGAGTTGCGTCGCTTCACACGGCCATCGGAGCGTGAAGGAGCGACCTGGCTTATGAGAGTCGCGCAAGGCCATTCCTTGGCCTCTCAAGACTATCAGACTGAAGAGGTTGCAAGGATACCAACTCTGTCAGGCTTTCTGTAAATAACACACTGGAAGGAGCAACCTGTTACCTCACGGCGAATTGAGCCGAGATGAAATTGCCTCATGAATATCACGACATGAGCTGCTCCTACACGATTCCCTAAGCCGTCACCTCGTAGGCACTGTCAGGCTTGTGTGGACGCCGAGGCAGGGAGGCTATTTCGCCTGTGGTCACGCTGCGAGGGCGCGAAGTGGAACAACAGACGCCATTTGTATTGGGGATTTAAAGAGGACGGAAGCAATGGTGTTCGAATACGTCCATGAACTAGTTTCTACGTGAATTCATATGCGCTTCGTGGATGTATATACTAAATGCAGGAATATCCTTATGGACAGACACACATTTCTATATACAGCAGCAAGAGCCCTTTCACATGTACAGAAAGAACGGCTTCAAACTGAAATCAATATCAAAATCTTTAAAGAGCGGAAATACGAACAATGGCGCCAGCCCACGCACCCAAACACTAATTCACACGCATGCATTTTCCGCCATTCTTATTCCTATCCACAGAAACTTATACCCTCATATCCACGCCTGAGGACCTACGCTTTCCCCGAATCTATATTTCATTTTCATATTGATACAGTGTAATAGCCACCCTGTTTACCGATCTATTTTTTCTCCTATGTTGACGTATATAACAGGGAAATTGAATAATTTCACACATACATACATGGACACAAAACACACGCACCCACACACAATCCTCCAATTCAGACGCACATGCACATACACACTCACGCCCTTATAGTCTGGCAACCATGCGCCCACCCCTCCCAGGGGGTGCCTACCATTTATCCTCCAGGAGAGAGTCGCGGGAGGGTTGGCAGCCGTGGTGACGCAACTGAGGGTGTACTGCTGCCCCGCCGTCACCACCGTCGGCCCCGTCATAACTACGTCATCAGGAGCGTCTGGAAGGGAAGATGGAAAAGTTCATAGGTCAGAGACTCATGGGTGAACATGCAAGGCTGTTATGTACAAAGTATGAAGTGTTTTATGTATCATATATCAGGCGTCGGCCTCGGCATTTCCACGTCGCCGAGAGAGGCTGGAAGGAAAGACATTTACGATTTGGGGGCAACAGGATACGTGGGCCTCTTAGAGAAAGTTTATGGCGTATTGTGTGGAAAATGAATATATTTGTAGATCATCTTAATGTTTATAAGGGCAGTGAAAAATGTAGATATACTTTTTGTCTTTGTGTAAGTTGTGTGTGCGTTTGGTCAAAACCTGATCAGAGGTTAGAAGGACGGTCTACATGCATCAGATGAGCTGAAAGCATTTAGGCGATATCACTTTCTTTAGGTAGAAGGGTAAACCAATAGATTGAAAGGGAAAAGGTTACTCCATTACTCCAATCAACAGATTGTTGGAAAGGAAACACGGCTTTATAAAAATGTATGGGTATACTAAGAGATACCTTATCCTATCTAATAGTATCCGATCAGAGGAATTGGACCTTGCTGGGGCGCCGTGACGGCTAGACGTAATGACCCTCAGCATCAGAGTTATAGGAGGAGAACTGTAATTTGCCTTCTGAAAAAGGGCAAGGACAGGACATCATGCCTCTGGAGGTCACGAGAGGCTTCGCCGACGGAGCGCTCGAAGTCAACTCACAGTGAACGGTGAGGGTGACGTTGGCGGCGAGGGGCTGGTGGAGGAGCTCGCTGTT